TTTTATGCAGAATGCTCCTTTCTTTGTTACTAAGCTTGCGGTGAAAACATTGCCATGTGTCATACTCTTCAGGTCATTCATGTCATTACTTCTTAATTGTTCCACGTATGAATCTTACGTATCACAATTACCGTTATTGCGCTGATTTTTCTTTTTTCCTTTTCTTTTCTGTCCCTTTCTTTTTGGACACTGATGGCACAATATAAAGGTTGATGCAATATTTCATTTTTCCTTACTTCATGGTGTTCCCTTTTTGTTTTTTCTTTTTTTTTTTAATAAAAAAAATTATTATCACGTGTAATATGCTAAGGTAGCACTCTATCTTAAATAATTTTGAAACTTTGTTCCTTCTTTATCCAGGAAAGGAGTAGCAACGGATAGAGTGGTCGGGTTTCAGGACTTGGGGGGAAAAGATGATTTCTCGACTAGGACTCTTGAGATTCTCCTGGTGAAGAAAGGTAATTCTTAGCTTTAATTCGATTTTCCGAGGACTTGAGGTCCTCGTTGCAATTGATAATCCAAGTCGCCATTTTTTTTTTTTTCAGGAATAATTGAGGAGAATAAACGGGAGGAAGAGGATGATGATTATCTCGAAGGTCAACGTAGAACAGTGAGATCATCTGTTAATCATGATTCTGATTCTGACTAAGGTCGACGGTAGACAGTAGGAACTTGCAGGTTCACAAGAAGCTTGCTCAACGCAAAATTTGAAACTAGGTCACTATTTTTATGTGCATTATAAAAAATTGCAATGCGGGTGTTTTAGTAGAGTGTGTCCAGTCGTAGCAAGTAAAAATTTCTAGATTATCACGAGAGAATTTCTCAGGCTGTGTGCTGTTATTCTACTTGGTGGCTGTATAATTGTGGAACACTTGTTTGGGTTCAAGACAATTTATTGCAACAAATATATGGTGTGAAGATCCGAAGCTAAAACCAAATTCTTCGTCGTCGTCTTCGTCGTCGTCGTCTTCTTCTTGTTCTTCTTCTTCTCAACTTAAGTGAGCACTTCACAAGAAGACAAAGTGTCTCTCAGCCATGTCAGCAACAAGAACAATGCCACGTCAAGGGAGGTCAAAGAAAGTCTTTGCCATGTCATCATGATAGGAACTATGGGAAAAAAAGGAGAAAGCATACTGATATAGATAGTGAAGATTGAATATGAACCGTCGGATCAAAATGGATGAACACACTTGGAGCATGTTTCTCTTTTGTTTTCTCAATACAATAGATCATGATCTGAATTACTGGTCTATACCTCCATTTAGATTTTTATCACGAAAAAAAAAATGAAAATAAAAATATACTATTGTCAATTGTATGATTATATATTTATATCAATGTCAATTTTAAAATAATGGCATTCCATTTTCCACCCGTCATTTTCTTTTTCCATAATTCAACCAAAAAAAAAAAAAAA